GAGAACTAATTAAATATGCCCAGAAGTAAAAACCAATCATAAAAAGTTAAAAACCACTTGGTTGGTTCGGACGCCAAAAACCAATGCCGATAACCGAAAGCCGAACGCCGATTTCTGAAACCCGAACGCCGGATGGCTTGATTTTTGGTTTGGGCGAACTCCAAGTGTTTTTAGGCATGTTTAAAACTTATGAAAAACATTTTTGAATATGCAAAAAAGTATTTTAATGAAGCGAGCCTAGAGAGCCAAGTTATGAAGTTTGTGCCGGTCTTGATCACAATAAGACCGACTCAATAAATTCTAAGTCTTCGTTCTTGGTTCTTGGTTCTTGATTCTCAATTCATCATGCCATGTTCCTTCGCTTTGGTTTTGCTCAGTTTAGCCTTGTTATCGTCACGGCGGTTTGGCATTATCAAAACCCGTCATAAAACGAACACGGTTTAGTACGTCATAGGCGTAAACCCGTGTTCTTACAATTTCCCCCTTTTTGATAATGGCAAACAAGACAGGGATATGCATACTAAGGGATACTTGGTTTTCAAAAAGTGTTTGAAAAAGTTCCCCCTTAATTTGTGCTTAAAAAACGAGTAGTCATATTAAAATCAAATGATCCCGTTTTTAGAGGCGTTCCCCCTTAGTGTATGCATAACCCTTTTCTTTCCCCTTTTGACATTAACAAAAAGATAAAAGATAATTTTATTTATTAAATTGGGAAATAGCATGGTACAACAGAAGCGATTAAAGAAAAATAGGACAATAAAAAAGAGATAGAAATTCTAGGGGTATCCTAGTCTTCGTCTTCGGTTTCCTCCTCGTCGTCGTCGTCGTCCATCTCATCACCGTCAATGGCGTCATCGAACTCATCCTCGTCCGGGGAGCTTGACGGGGCGTAGGAGGCGTCGTCTTCGTCCTCGTCACCGTACACTTGCCCAAAGAACGTGCCATGGTACGGTGGGGGGACGTAGTTAACGCGTTGGAAGTATGCGTTCATGGCATGCCCTTAGCGTTGGACAGCCTCGTCTAGCCGCTCAAGGTAGCCATCCATCCCGTCAACTTTGAAGTGAAGCCGGTTGAGGTAGTCGGCGATGGAGGCAAGGTTGGCCCGGGCCTGGGGTTCGGCTGGGCAAGCGGTAGTGGCAGTGCGGCGTGGCGCGGCAGTGGCAGGCGCGGCGTTGTCCGACCGCTTGGTGAAGGTTTGGGCGCTAATCGTCCAAAGCTTCGTGGACTTTGTGAGCGGGCCAACAGTGGTGGTTACCTTGAACCGTTCAAGGATGTCCATCACCACGAACAGGTACGGGAGGAGGTGATCGTGGTCAGTGGACGCGGCGACCGTCATGTTGATCATGACAAACTTCGCCCAATTGATTGGCGCCGTGTGCATGATCGCGTGGAGAAGCTTGAGGTCCTCACCGGACATGATCGTGTGCCCGTGCTTCCGGGGCTTGATGATTCGGGACACGATGTAGAGGAGGAGACGGCTCTCGGAGTTCGCGGAGTGGATGGTGGGGCGGCCCGATGCATGGCAGATGAGCTCGGTGATGCCAAGCTCGTTGAGGATAAGGCCCTCGTTGTTGAGTACCCAGTCCTCTCCACCATAGTGGGAGACGTCGTCGCCTTGGTAGGGGAGGCCGGCAATGCGCCCAAGTTGCTCAATGGAAAGCTCAATCGGCGTGCTCTTGACAAGGGAGTAGAGCACGTCGTCCTCACGCCGGAGGTTGGAGTAGAACGCCCGGATCAGCGCTGGGTTGATCTCCTTCCAAGCCCGGGAGACAAACGGCCAGAGGCCGGTTTGATAAAGCTGCGCGTTGAGGTCGTCGTAGCCCTACAACTCCGGTAGGCGCTCCGGGACCATCCATGGGGGAGCCACAACCCGTTTAGAGAAAAAAGTGAGGAAACGGGTGTGCTCCTCCTCGGAATCGAACCATAGGTAGGATCCGTCGCCGTACTAGAGGCACTCCTCGGAGTTGGTTGCCGGTGCCCGGGATTTAGACTTGGATTTCCCGGAGGTACCTGCTCTTTACTTGTCTTTGCCCATTGTGATGATGAAATCTCAAGAGAGAGTTGTAGAGAGGATATATTATGCAAGGAGATATAAGAAAATTGTGTTTAGATGTGTAAAAGTGAAGAGAGGAGTCCAAAATATATAGGGAGAGGGGTTCCCAACATTCAAAGATTTGAAAAAATGGCTGTTGGAGCATTTAATGCAGTGCCCAATGGTTATTTGTTTTGAAAAATTCAACGTGAACAACGATGTTCTAAAGAAGACATCGCTGTTGGGACAGCGCTGTAGGACCCTTGTATAGCGTTGTTCTGCGTTAAGTTTTAAAAACCAGGTGTCAAATGGACAGCGATGTTGGGTACCCTACAGCGATGTTCCAAAAGTTACTGGAAATGTGTAAGGGTTTGAACCCATTAGAACAGCGTTGATGGGTTTCCCTACATCGCTACTTTACGATAGGAAAAAAATTTGTAAAAACGGACAGCGCTGTTGGAAAACTTTCTGGTTTTGGTTTAAAAACATGGTGTTATGGAGAACAGCGATGTTAAAAGGTATACAACGCTGTTGAAAAAGATTCTGGAAAGTATGAAGGAAGAGAAAACTCCCTGGGACAGCACTGTTGGTATATTGTACAGCGTTGTTGGCTCAGGCTGGTTGACGGTGTTTCCTTCAACAGCGCTGTTGGGTCTCCTGGACAGCGCTGTAGGCATGGTTCCCCCTGATTTTATGAACGGGGTACCTGCAAAAAAGAAAAGTTCTCCGACGCTCAAGTTAGTAAACGTTTAACAAGTTAAAAATGCACAACTTAGATCATCGTGGAGTCAAGGATTCCGAGTTCACTTTGAATGTGGAAGAACGACTCTTTCTCTAAAGGTTTTGTGAAAATGTCGGCTAATTGGTTGTGTGTTTCAACAAACTCAATTTTGACATCACCTTTGAGAACATGATCTCTAATGAAATGATGCCTAATGTCAATATGTTTCGTCCTTGAATGAAGAACGGGGTTCTTCGTCAAGCTTATGGCGCTAGTATTATCACAACGAAGAGGAACGTGATTGATACTAAGGCCATAGTCCACGAGTTGTTGCTTCATCCAAAGGATTTGAGCACAACAACTACCGGCGGCAACATATTCCGCTTCAGTTGTGGATAACACAACACTGACTTGTTTCTTACTAAACCATGAAACTAGAGAGCTACCAAGTAAGTGGCAAGTCCCACTCGTACTTTTACTGTCCAATTTGCAACCGGAAAAGTCCGAGTCGGAATAACCAACGAGATGGAAAGAGCAGCCTTTTGGATACCACAGTCCAACGTTAACCATGCCGACAAGGTATTTCATGATCCGTTTCACCACCGTTAAGTGCGATTCCTTCGGACACGATTTATACCTTGCGCAAAGGCATACACTAAACATGATATCCGGCCTACTAGCGGTAAGATAGAGAAGGAATTGGATCATACCTCGATACCTTTTGACTTCTACTTCCTTACCTTTCTCGTCTTTGTCAAGATGGTCAGACGTGCTCATCGGGGTCGCCATGGTTTTGGCGTTGTCCATTTCAAACCGTTTTAGGAGCTCCTTGCAATATTTAGCTTGGCAAATGAACGTGCCATCTTTCATTTGCTTGACTTGGAGTCCCAAAAAGAATGTGAGCTCGCCCATCATTGACATTTTGAATTCACTTTTCATTAACGTTGAGAATTTCTTGCACAACGACTCGTTAGTAGCACCAAATATAATATCGTCTACATAAACTTGAACCAAAAGGATGTTATTGTTTTTACTCTTGATAAAAAGTGTAGTGTCAACCTTTCCCCTTTGGAAACCACTATCCAAAAGAAATTTACTCAAACGTTCGTACCAAGCACGGGGTGCTTGTTTAAGACCGTAGAGCGCTTTCTTGAGTTTGAAGACATGGTCGGGAAACTCAAAGTCTTCAAACCCCGGGGGCTGGTCAACATACACTTCCTCTTGAATAAAACCATTGAGAAAGGCACTCTTAACATCCATTTGATAAAGTTTAAAATCCATAGACGAAGCAAAAGCAAGAAGTAAACGAATAGCTTCTAAACGTGCTACGGGTGCATAAGTTTCTTCGAAATCAATGCCTTCTTCTTGATTGTAGCCTTTAGCTACGAGCCTAGCTTTGTTTCTAGTGATTATTCCATTTTCATCAAGTTTGTTACGGAACACCCATTTCGTACCAATAATCGTACGATCATCGGGCCTTGGCACCAATTCCCAAACGTCATTCCGTTTGAATTGGTTTAGCTCCTCTTGCATAGCCAAGGTCCAATGTTCATCGTTTATTGCTTCGGAAATGGTTGTAGGTTCAATTTGAGAAACAAAAGCCATGTG